TGATTTACACCAAACCCTGTATAACCACGTAGGTCAAGATACTGAAGTCAGTCACTGAATTTTAACAAGAAAAGTCAGAATTTTGACATTTAACAGTTTAGAAGTTTTTCTAACTGGAATAAACAGGGTCCAGTGGATTGAGACACAGGCCCATTTACTCATGTGTGTCTTGTATCCAAATAAAATGCTTTTTAATGCACTTTTAGTTGTGCTTACACACAGTTGGGCTCTGGTACACTCTATTGGCAAATCTGATTGTAATCCGTCTTGGTTTCCCCCGGCAACAGGTAAAACAGGGTAAGCTCTGCTCCAGCTGAGAGTGGTGGTGATGCTCCTGTGACTGCCAAAAAACACCAAAACAACCACTTTAGTTACAAAAGCAAAACACTTAGTGATAACAGCTGGGTGGCTAACAACCCTTTATAAACTAACCAAAACACATGGATGAATTGCATGTATGGGCTAGGAGTGAGACAGGCTGTTCCTTCACCCGTACTGAGTGATGCTCTCTCACGCACAGAGATCAGTCACAGGCTGAACTGATCAGGGATCAGATAAGGGCTACAGACGGCTCAGAGTTGCCATGTGCATGAGCCATTTTCTCTGTCAGGAGCAACAGGAACATCAGCTAATGTCACTGTAACTCTGGCTGCCGTCGTCACAGCGGACAGACCCTGTGAGCGGCTATTTGCACCGACCGCCCTCTGAATTTACAGATGAAAGCGTACATATATGTCTGGAAGAGACGGATGCATTTACACCTGTTTGACATTTAGGTGCATTCGATGCATCTGTGGGTTTCAATCTGTCTCTAATGCTTCTTGCTTTTACACTATCTGACACATGCAGTGTAGTGTCAGTGGGGTCATAATCTGTACCTGCATGTGACATTGTGTGTTTTCTAGGGATGCACTATAATACTTACACATCTTTAAAAAAAAATGCTTTATTTACAATCATGATAACTTGACTTGCAGTCATAGACATTAATATCAACACAGGATGGACAAAGCCTTTTTATTTAAATTTTGGCTCTTGAGTCACTTCCGTGGCTGAAAACGCTCCAGCATCTCCTCAATGAGTCGCCGAAGGAGAATGATAGAGTAGGCAGACTGTAGGAATTACATGTCTACAGGGCACACAACAGCTAGCAGATGTCAGGTCTGTGTGGGGCCACATTTGTCTGCAGTGAAAACACGTCGACTGAACGCTCCACTGTGCCTCAATCTGAGCTGTTGACTCTACGGTAATGATGCAAGTCAGGCTAAACATAACAAACCATTAGCGTCCTCAGCACGCCGGCTAAAGCGCAGGAAAGATGGCGATCTCCCTTCTGTCTGTGTGAGCTCCACAAACACTGGGAATGCAGATTAGTTTACATGAATGAGGCGCCTGGTGTAAATAAATCCAGGCCAAATGGTTTCCATTACGAGCTACTATTATAAACAATTTTTAGTTTGGTTGTGTTCCTTAAAACTTTTGTTTTGGACAGGAAGTGGAGAGCAGGCCTAGTTTTTTGGTGCAGCAGAACACGAGTGGTCGTGGCACTGATATTCAATATTAACCGTAGTGACAAGTGGGTCTTTTTATTTAGACCCCTGCAACAGCATTTAGCTATTTATCTCAACTATCATGTGACCTGTAAATGCTTCCAAACCAAGGATCATCATCCCGATAAAGGGAGGAAGGAAAGAAGGGAAGAAGAAGAAGAAGAAAAAAAAATAGAGTCTCAGAAAGCTGCAGGCATGTGAAAGCAGGAAAAAAAAAAAAGGTCACCCTCTGGGAAGGACATGATTTCCCACCGGTCAGTCTCTGTGAACCTTAAAAAAGAAAAAAAAAAAGAAAAATATGAGGGGAAATATGTGAACACAGAGAAGAGAGGGAAGAAGAGGTTTACAGGGAGAGGAGAGGGTGGGGTGGGATGGGATGGGACGGGAGATGGAGAAAGAGAGAGGAAATGAGTGAAAGACATGAATAGAGGTCTGGTTCTGGTCTGTCTTTATCAGAGGAAACAAGGGGGACTGTATGGCAGGGACCCAAGGCCAGGGTTCATACTGTCACTGAGGCATGGCCATCTCTCTCTCTTTTCCCTCTTCCTTTCCCTCCTGCCTTACTCTAGCTCTCTCTCTCGATTTCTTTCCTGTCCCTCCCTTTTCTCCTCTTCTTCATATCAGTCTCCATCTTCTCCGCATCACTTCACTTGCTTCATTCCGTTTACTTGCTCTTGTTTCTGCCGCCCTTTGTCCTCCTTTCTTCCTCTCAAATTACTCGAAAAAACAGTTCCAAAATTGAGAACATGTTTATGTAAATCATACAAAAGCCAAAGCATTGTGTGTTTGTTTGTATGTGTGTGTGTGTGTGTGTGTCTCTCTCACTCACTTTGCCTCACTTTTTGTCTTTGTTCATTGAAGTTAAACTTTGCTGTGTTTTCTGGCTGCCTTTGAAAGTGTGGTAGAAAGCAGACAATGTCTGCCACAGGCATTTTCTCAACCTTTTTTAAGCCCGCAACACACACACACACTCTCACACGCAAACACACGTTCCCTGACAGCCTTGCTGTTTTGGAGGGGTGGGGTGATTGATTAGTCTCTATGGAGACAATACGTCTTGTAATGAACAAGAGAAGGCTGGCATGTTAATTTGTGTAGTGTGGGAGGCTCGATCGTGCTTGTGCGTGTGTGTGTGTGTGTGTGTGTGTGTGTGTGTGTGTGTGTGTGTGTGTGTGTGTGTGTGTGTGTGTGTGCGCGCATGTGTGTTTGTGTGTGTGTGTGTGTGTGTGTGTGTGTGTGTGTGTGTGTGTGTGTGCGCGTGTGTGTGCGTGTGTGCGCGCACGCGTGTGTTTGTGTGGCTTGTGCTTTCCTGTGCATGTGTGACTATAAGTTTGTGTGTTGCTGTTTGCATGTGTCTCTTTGTGAATGGAATTGTTCTTTCTTCTTAATTTTGTGTATCTATGAGTGAATTCCCTCTGCGTGCATGTGTGATTGTTCATGTGCATCTTTTCTGTTTTTTTTCTGGTTGTCGCTGCAGGTGTCAGTTTTAACTTAAAAGTACCACAGTGGAAATGCCACTTTGGGAGAATATTGCAGAAAAGGTTTGAACCTTTTAGACAGAGGTTAGACACGTTGGTTGTATCGAGACGAAGAAGAAATTGCAATGGACGCAATCTTAGCAGAAGAATCATAGTGAACATGAAACATGTGGCTTAAACTAGAGATGTTCTGATACCATTTTTTCCATCTTTTCTGTTACCTGAACGGAAGAATCGGCCGATACGGAGTACTGATCCAGTACCAGATCAAAATTTGTATAACAGTACAGAACGTACATTCATTGAGATTTTGTTTTGCCGTCTTTCTGTAAACTATATCAAACATGAACAACCCTATTTTCAACCCCTCGGAGACATAGTGTCTCCCAAAATAGTGGCCCATGGACCTTGGTTGTCATGGTTACAATAACAAGCACACAGAATGTACTGACAGTAGCGTACCGGACCTTAATCGCCATGGTTAGAATAATCAAAGCTCATGGCTTGGTTAGGTTCAGGAAAAGATTGTAGTTTGGGTTAAAATGACTACTTCTTTCACATTAGACAATCTTTGTTGTCATGGTTACAATAAAAAAAAACGTGGTTTACTTTGCCGAACGGTCATGAATTTTAGACTGCTGCTTTCACATGGGAATCGAACACCGCTCTCCTTTGTCACATTCCTGTGTTTTGATGACCCATCCGTCCCATCCATCAGACTTTATCCCTCTTTATACCACGTCACAGCACTTTTCCCTTTCCTCCTGTCAGAATTACTGTTGCCGCGAGTGGTTGCTTGACAACAAAATGTAACTACGGCAAATAATGAGCTGCAGCACAGACGACCTATGTGCTGGTTTTTTACAGGACAGTGTTGAAACTTGACTTACGTGTATGCACCGTATGTTCTTTAGCATGCTTGTCTCTACATATGAGTATTTCTTTCAGTATGAATGTACAGCTGTATAATCTCCTATCAGAGCTGTGTGGACCTGACGTCGTGTATTTCCTGGCATGCTTCTCGGCAGGTGTGTGCGACTGTGTGAGTGTGTTTGTGTGTGTGAGGTCATCACAGTTAATACAGATGCTGTCGATTATCTCTGTTACACGTGTCAGAGGCAGGGGAACCTCCTGATGCATACGTAGCTATCGCATTCTTTTAATGACATGCCCATTACGCACACGCACACACACACACACACGCACACACACATGCACACACACAGTATGTTCATAAATCAGACGTGACATATCAGCATATCAAGGCGGCGATGTGCCTATATGAGACACTTTGATTATGATATGCTAATCTGACCTATAATTTGCTTCCTGTCATTCCTCTGTCATCTCCACCAGTGTCCTGCTCATGCGTTCGCCCTCCCCTCCATGTTTATTCCAGTTCCATTTGATTTACTCCTTTCATTGGCTTGTCTCTTATTAGTAACTACACTGCCAAGGCTGTATACAAAGAAATCAATATTTAAAACATTAGCAAACAAATGTTGCTTCATTTAAACCATGCTGAGATGCTTGATTGCTTTGGTTGACATCGTGTTCTATGAAGTAATCAAAGGCTGTGATGGGGGGGGGGGGGCGCAGCCATCACAGAAGACTTCACTACATACTGGTCAGACTGTGTTTTTTGCTCATAATGAAAGACAAATTTAACTGTCTCACCTTTTCCATCAGTTTTTTAAAAAATGTCCCAAAAAAGGGGAGTTGAGGAAACTGAAGTTAATTTTCCCAACGACGCCCATTAATTTCACACAATTTCTCACTAAATCTGCGGCGGCACTGGCTTCACTCCAGCACCATAAAACGTCTACTAAGTGCTGGTGAGATCGAAAGCTTCCCCCCTTATTTAAGAATTAATGTTAGTTTAACAAGAGAAGGGAGGAATGTTAATGCTTGAGTTAATGGCTTTCTCTCCTTCTACCCCTCCCCACCTCCCCTCCCCTCCCCCACATCCCAGCCATTGCAGATAGACGATAACTTCTGTGGCCAGGACTTCAACCAGCCTCTAGGGGGCACCACGGCCATCGAGGGCATCCCGCTTTATGTGGACAAGGATGACGGCATGACCTCTGTGGCGGCCTACGACTACCGCGGACACACTGTGGCGTTCACTGGCACTCGCAGCGGATGCATGAAGAAGGTAGGCATCCTGGAGTGTGTGTGTGTGTGTGTATGTGTGTGTGTGTCTCTATGCGCTCAGTTTGCTCTTTAAAGTGAAAGCGCTGTTGCAATTTTGACGGCTCATGGCTGTAACCTTTGTGTAAACCTTGGAAAATGACAACAAACACTTTAAACACTTAATGATCATTTGATCCTTTCTTTAAAAACTCCAAATGAGTTGTCAAAAATATTTCATGGGTAGCGGAACAATGCTGTTTTGCAGATAGAAGAGTTTCACCTGACAGTGTCTGTTGTGTTATTTTGTGGTGTATTGTCTGGCTTTTGTCATTTGGATGCTCCTTACACATTGTGAATGATGTGAGACATAAATTACAGCGGTAACTGACACAAGACTAATAAAATGTGATTGATATGGTGATTGAGATGCTCCTGCAAAAGAATAAAAGTGTGTGTGTATGTGTGTGTGAGAGAGGGAGAGAGTGAGAGAGAATGTGTGTGTGTGTGTGTGTGTGTTTCCTGCACTGTAGAAAACCATTTTCACTTTGGAACAATTTTGTGTCATTTTGTGATGTATTTTCAATGGTCATTGGTTTTGGCATTGCTGACAAATGGTTTTGTCATCAGAAATCTCATTGCAGACATCAGTTGTGAAAATACACGTGTGTGTGTGTGTGTGTGTGTGTGTGTGTGTGTGTGTGCGTGCGTGCGTGCGTGCGTGCGTGCGTGCGTGCGTGCGTGCGTGCGTGCGTGCGTGTGTATCTTTAATGGCATATTGTGTGTGTTCCGTCTTAAAATGGCTTTTCGCTGCTTTGTCATTGCTTCCAAACACAGCAAATAAGACACACATACCTTTGAAGAGAAAAGCACGGCAGCAGCTCTTGAGATGCTGGTGTTTTCTCCTACAATGTGAGGTTGCGTGTGTGTTTCTGTGTGTGTGTGTGTGTGTGTGTGTGTGTGTGTGTGTGTGTGGAGTGGAGCTCATGCTGCTAGGCACACTGGAGCTGTGTGGGTTTTTTATGTCGCTGAGTGTTGTTTGGTGGTCCAGTCACAGGATTGTCAAGAGCCAGGAAGTGTTTCCGACGGGTTATAAGGTGGGTGAAGATGATTTTCTTTTGTGTCTCCTGTGTACCATAGGTGACAAAATTCTGTGTTGTGTGTGTATGTGTGTGTGTGTGTGTGTGTAGGTTTGTGTGTTTGTTTCTGTGCTTGCTCTTTCAACAGGAGCCTCAAAATGTAGTAGTAAGTAGTAGCAGTTATTCCCCATCAAGTTCAGCATACACACAGCATGGAGCCCCTTTTTCGTGTGTGTGTGTGTGTGCCTGTGGGTTTACAGTATGTGTGTGCGCTCCTGAAGTACCCCTGTTGAGTAGACCGCACAGTGTGTATGTGTGTGTGTGTGTGTGTGTGTGTGCGCCAATCAGCTGCTCCTTCATCTGAGATCCGACTGAGCCGCTTTTTTTCTGTGTTTTTCCACGTTTTTCCCTCAGCAGGACTCCTCCATACGAGTGTGTCCGTGTCACCAATACTCTGGAGACTGAAAAAAACAATCATCTCAGGCTAAACATAATTGAATAAATACATGCATAATACGAAATAAATAAAGAAAAGCTACATGCACATTTCGCTTTAACTTTGAGAAGTGTAGAGAATCTTCTCCAGAGTTTTTTTTTTTTTCTTTTTTTTTTTGGCGTTCTTTCAAGTCTGCTGTCATTTTGTCCTTTATTTCAAATAGTGATTTCTCTGTGTGGAAGTGTTTGTGTTTACATTAGACTTTCTGGCACATTCTATTAAACTGAACTAAAAATATCCAGCTGCTAGAGGTTGACTATTTGAGTATTAGGCCTGTGTGTTTCTGTTGCAGTAATGCTGCTGTTACCTTCCGTATAGGCTGCGATAATATGCACAACGCATACACTCACGCAGACACACACATGCCTCCTTACACAGCTTCCTGTCTCTGGTGTTTTTGCTAAGTCGACTGAAACCTAGCCCGCTAGTCCTTGCGCCTGACCCCTGGACTGTGTCTGTCTCTATGTGCGTTTGCGTGTCTGTGCAGACAGATGATTTGTGTGTGTGTGTGTGTGTCGAGCGTGTGGGGTCAGCAGATCCTGGATGATATCCCGCTGATCGGAATCCCATTTCCTCTCAGCCGGCGTGTCTTCCTGTGCTCAGGGATGGAGGGAGGAAGGTGAACGCGGAGGTGGAGGCTGCTGGTGTCCTCACACAGATCAATGCAGATGCTGCAGTAACATGCAGTCGTCTCTACGAGCAGAGAAATGGCGACACAGGGCGACAATTAGTGTAAATCACCAGTTACTCAAGCTACAGTTTACGAGGCTTTTATTTTTGTTGGTTCCCCTGATATAAGAGGTGATAAGTTTCAGCTTTAAATCAGATCTTTCCAAATAAACGGGAAAACATCTGTTAAATGACTGAACTGGATTTGTGCAACAGAAAATTTAGGAAGGAGGAAGAAGGGAACAGAGCTGGGATTATAAGAAAAGGAGAAAAAAGCATGAGACTGAGGCAGATGGAGAGAGATGGTTACAGGCTGTGTGGTTTTATTGCTATTCATTGGGAGTTAAACTGTGCTCCTTGGCCTAATGAAATGTAAAGCTGCAGTGTATTGATGTCTGCTCACGCGCGCGCACACTCATTAGAATTCCTACAGTGCGACTGTTGCTAAATGTGTGTTTGCCAGTGTGGACATGTCTCGGCTGCTAGACTCCCTCTATTGATTGATCTATGAATATATAATCACTAGTGTAAATCTTAAACCTAGGCAGTCCATTGGACGAGTGTTGGCATCTTTCGTGTGTGTATGTATGTATGTGTGTGTGTGCGTGAGACAGAGAGAGAGTGACAGAGAGAGATAGAGCTGTGACGTAAGCCAGTGTAAATCAGTGGTGCTTGACATCAGCATGACTAATCAGAATGCTTCGACTGACTAAGCACACAGCATGTACGTGCAAAATACCCACCTAACATTTCCACTGTTTTACAGGTTTTCACTAAGTGTGTACGGACTCACACTGCCGTATTAGTTGCCGTCATTGGCTCCAGTTCTGGCCTTTGAGTTGTATCAAATTAGCATTCTGTCAGTAAATTCTTCATACTGTCTTTATTGGTTTTATGTGGCACGGTGGAGGGCGTGTGATTAAGAGCCCCATGTCAAAGTAAAGGCTCATTTTATGATTTAATGGTGCAGTGTGGCCTTCGTTAGGATAAGGTTAAAGAAGACAGCCGACAGTGACAAAATACTGGCACGGCATACCTACTGATCTGCAATATTACATTTGAGATATAATACTTCTGATGTAGATTGTAGGACGTGCGGTGGATAGAGAATATTAATTGATGAATTGATTAGTCAGGTTTTATAACTATAGATAACCTTTAGCACATATCATGTATTACAATGGACGTGCAATGTAATATATGCAATACATGATAAAGAGGAGGTTGCAGGATATTGGAGTGAAGACGTACAGTGAGATGTCAAACTGCTGTCAAACTGGATTTTCAACCTCAGAATTTAATAACTGAGTGCTGGTCCAAACTGAGGCTAGAAAACCTTGCTGTAGAGTGGCCACTGTGGTCACTAGTATAAAGGATTATAACTGTTGCCATCACGTTGTTTACATAGTTTTTATGATTTGTTTACTTTTGTAAGGCCGATTTCATAATTGGGAATTTATTTGGGTTGGATTTGATATTTGTACATAATTTTTTTTTTTAGAACCAGCGATACTACTATTATTTTTAAAGGGTTGGGTTAAAGTTACACATGTGTTACAAGGAACACACAAAGACTGTTCCTGTTAGTTTGAAAAAGATCTTAAGGAAAACTTAAGATGAAAAAAAAATGGTCTCATTACTGACTATTAAACAGAACTTTGTAGAGCTTTTTTTTAAGTATGCTAAGGCTGTCTAATGTAAGATGAAAGGTGTACAGTCAGATGCAGGATGTAGGACATACAGTATGGAGGCCGGAGGCCGGGTGCCTCTCTTCCAGTCAGGTCTCATGCCTGCAGGCCAGCAGCAGCATATACAGTATATGTGTCGTATATACTGTTGTTCTTTACTCATTACATTTTTCTTTTAAACCCACAGTATGTCTCTTCGTTGGGTGACAAGGTGGAGGTGAGGTACCGATGGTGTGAATTTGGACTGTGTGCTACCTTGTGCACCGTTTACCAGAAACCTCTGAAAAAAAAAAAACCCTCCTCAGATCTCAGTAAAAACCTGGAAATCCTTTCATTCCCCTCATTTCGTCTCCTCTTTTGTCTACCTGGGAGAACAAGGCGCTCTCGCCACATCAGGCGAGATGAAAAGAAACTCTCAACAGCCTGAAGTATTTCCAGATTTGAGAAACAAAAAGAGGCAAGCAAGACAGACGGAGAGAAAAAGAGGAAGAGGGAGATTTACTCAGAGTGGTGTAAAGGTGTGTGAATGTGCCTGTGTGTGTGGTGGGTGAAGGGGAGATGGTTTCATGTCATTTCATCATTTCCCTGCTAGCAGCAAATCCAATTACTTTACCCTTTCCTTTCTATCTTGGAAGATAGCCTGAGTGACAGGATTGGAGTACAGCACTACTGAGGTAACTGTGCCAACAGGTTGATTGACATAATGCTGGCACTTCACTGCCTTGAGACAAGGAGACAAGTGAGACTGGTTAGACTTCGGGGCCTCTCAGAGCTGCTGAGTCGGACTAGAAGTTCACCTGCCCTGCTCCTTCGACCGTATATCCCTCCCTCTCGGAGATGATCTAATTCACTCTTTGGCAAGAGACTCCACGTTTTCCCCTCTGCGTCCGTGTGACAGCACTACCCCCCCCCCCCCCCCCCCCCAACAATATCAACCCATTAGCAAGATAATAAGCACAATATATTGTGTGAATTGAGTCATAATCATATTTAAAGCAGTATAAAAAAGGATAGCATACCAGCTGAATAACATGTGCATATATACAGATACTTTTATAACAGTATAACTACTCTACTCCACTATATTATAGAG